GCCTTAGTCTGATATCGTCCATGAGTTATTGCAAATCTATTGGCTCGCTCTTATGGGACTATTATTACTGAACTTAATCGATAAGCAGATCTCGTGAAGGACGTTGTATTCCCGTAGTAGAATCGATGCGTCCGACTTCAGAGTTAACTGCTTCGTTCGTATCAGGACATCAACTGTAAATGCTTACAATCTCTATGACTGATAGTTCTCTTGCTGCTACGCGCAGTTGACAAAACCAATTTATCGGATTAATATATATATATATATATATATATATATATATATATATATATATATATATATAGAGAGAGAGAGAGAGAGAGAGAAAGAGAGAGAGAGGAAGAATGCTGATCACTTGAAAAACATTTCTCTAGCAGGATGCGACAGCATTTGCGGTTATTGAGAGTCATAAGGCGTGCGTTTTTGGTACGTTTTACCAGTTTATTCATAAAATTGTACCCAGCAAGTGTAATGGAGAGAAATATCTTATTTGCAACGTCGAGCAAGTTAGTTTGGATAGGCCTTTCGTAGCCGGTTCATTTATGCAGCATTAGGAAAGACTTATCGAAAAGAATCTACCCGGTGTTGTAAATGAAATGTGTATCGAAAATACACTTCCTGGGCACAAGCATTCTTCTTCTTTTTCATTTTTACTTTCTTTTATTGAATATATATTGATACTATTCATGAGACTAGAAGCGGTCAATCAAAGGGCCACCATGGTAGAAGTAACAAAAGATTACCGGATACGCATGCCTGACAAACGGCAAGAACAGCGAAACCGATCGTGTGCTTCTAAGGAATTGTTTTCAGTCATTCATATAGAAAGGAGTTTGATTCCAGACTGCGCACCAAACAAATCAGCGCATAACAACCTTTATATCAAGAAAATCATTCTACGATCTGCACGTGGGAGTTATTTTTCGCGGTTGTCCATGCCAAAGAAGGATACGATTGACCGCATTCTCACTTCTCCATTCACCCCCACCGTCACTTATTTGGAGTCTATTATCGCGTGCTGAACTAAAAAACCTCTGGAGTGTTTCCACAAACAACAGTTGTTTATTTGATACATTTAATTGAGTAGTCCTCAATGCACCCCGTTCGTGTTGAAGTTTGTGAATTCTCTTCCTAAACACTATCTCAGGGGAACAAGAACAATTCGTCCCGCTGGGAGTCACCATATCTGTGTTAGGAGCACTTAATCCCGGGAAGCTTCATTAGGTTTGTTTCATCGAACATGATTCCTGTTTTTAAAGTATGCTTTCTTATGCTGATTGGTAGACGAATCCACGAGGCATAACGAGCTTCATTTAGCTTGTGACTAGTTTCTTTCGGAACAAAAATGCAGTGTCTGACTTCGCATCAAAAAGCGAATAAAGTAAACACGATGAAATCAACGTTCTGCGCCCTCGATTGGAAAACATTTCAACAATGCAAAGTGCGATTCTAAAGTAGGCTCATTGGAAACGGAATCATTTAGGACACTGGTCAAAATCTCGTGTTTGTGAGGTAAACCATACTGCCGTAAGAGTTCCAAAGAACGATTATAATCACGTGATTTCCAAGGTCGCCGAGAATCCATAAGCTGAAAGAGGAAGAAAATAATGACAGAGCAATGCAATGTTTGAAGTAAACGTGACTGGATAGATAGCAAATGCTGTTAAATAGGTGCGAATTTTCTGCATTACGCTAACATGAATCTTCAATTGATCGAATGTAATTTTAAATCGTTGATTCGGAAACTTCGCTTCAAATAAAATACTTCTGAAACAAAAGTAACATTTACAAAATATTCAAATGATATAAAGATTCGAAATGAATTCATAGTATGACATTATTAGGCCGCATCCCCTGAACCACAATCAGGAATCCGAGGGCACCATGCAATAACCCATTCAGCTGTCACTCCTTGCAGCACACAGGCTTATTTGGGTATGGATCAGGGGTACTACCCGAGCAGTAGTTGGACGCACTTTCTGAACATCACAGCTTGAGTTCGATGCACAGTAAGCTTTGTGAGTTACTTCACGAAATGCTCCAGCGACTAGTATCAAGCGTGGGTGTTCGAGCAGCTTTGGCAGCCAAACGGTGATGATAATCACAATTATTTTTCGGATTAAGCTATTTGTCGTGGCTTAATTCGTTTTAATGACCTCCTGCAGCAGTCACCCTAACAATGAAGGACGGTAGTTGAAAATTCTGAGTGGATAAATTAACTATTCATAACAAACATCAGTAGCGTAAATGTAAATGATCATTAACATGATTCTCGGCTCACTATGTTAGATCACCCAAGTCGGTATAACAGTCGAGAAATTTGAACATTCACATTTACGCATAGCTCTGTTCTGGGGCTATTGTGTTTATGTGCTCCGGTTTGGCATCATATCGGAGTACTTTAGAGTGGTACAACTTATCACAACTTGGGTAAAGGAAGGTACTGCTATTCATACACTTTCGCCCGAGCATCTGGCATATTTCAGTAATCAAGGTAATATCGAGATGGGCGGCTTAGTTTTACCTAACAGCCGCCAGTTCTCAGTCTGTTAGAAATCCCGAGTGTATTAAATGGAAAGAGTACGGGTTTTCATTTCAGTTTAAACAATCATTAGCCATGCATTTTCACGTGCCGGTTTTGGTTGTTGTTTTTCAGCTGACCATTTGGATGAAAGAGCAGAATGATGGTTTGAATATTGACAGCAGAGTAAAAGAGAAGATAGAGAGTACAAAGGAGAATTATTCTATTCGCATCAAACTGAAAGAACAGTTTAAAAGCAGATGGGACTGGCAGGTTCAACAAAAGCTATGCTGCGGCCACATTATTTCCAAAATCATTGCTGGATTGTAAAATCCAAGGGCATCAAATTCGGCTTCAGGCATAGTGAAGCAATCGAACGTGAAGCCTATTAGTACCAGCTAATTAAAATTCTTATTGGCATGATAATGGAAAAGAAAAAAATAATAGTACTGTTTTGAATAAAGATAAACTAACAGCAATATCTCGTGGCACGTTTACTTTGAAGCTGGTTTCCAAAAGTTGGCAACCCATGACTGTATTCACTCAGAAACGGTGTATAAAAACACACCACCAAAATTCATTTTCCCTCTGGACATAGAAAAGATTTGCGAAACACGACAACATCTAAACACGTCTAAGATCAAAAGTATTTGATTAATTCACGTTTGCAATCCCAATTTCAACCTCCTTGGGAACTTTGAGTTTTTTTAACTCCACAATCAATTACGAGATCTGGCCGTTTTCGATTTTATGAGACACCTGGGCAATTCTATGTACACGACCAACTGATAAATATTAAAAGTAAGGAAAATGCAGCTCATGTGGTCAATTGAATCTAGGATTTCCCCGTCCACATTGACAATACACATTTTTGGCCTGAAGGGAATCCCGTCCGTTGTCAGAGACAGGACAGACTGAGAACAGCTTTTCTTTTCTTTCCTGTTTTATCACAGAATTTCACATGTCACACACACACAACTGCCTCACCCGAGAGTAATGAACATGCTTAATAGTTGACGGGGAAATTTTGCAGTTTATGATTTAACAAACGATATTTGCATAATTTTTTTCTTCGATTAAAACTGATTCGGGTGTAATTTTCCTTAGAAGAATTAATGGAAACATACTTCCAAATCTCGTTTATTGTGTTCTTCGAGTTCAGTTGAGCGTTTCTAACTCAAATAACCTCTTTTAAATTACTTCAAGGCGACCGGTAGGATGCGGTTCGTTGAATACAAGTTGGAGGAGTCTGATGATTCGGGTTTTTTTAACGTGAACTGATTCATCCCGGTTTGAGAGTGTCTGTTCGTCAAATACTCCAATCTTTGTGTGACGATCACCTCTACAAAATCGTCGAATCGGGCTACCCTCACCTTGACTCCAATAAAGGCTGACAACGAAAAAAAGGATGCAGGCAACTTATCGACTGACTGTGAATGACTGCTTCCTTCAGCGGACATGTTCCGTAAAGGAACCTGAAGATGTTTCATCATCTTGCAGGAATCAGTGTGGTATCAACACTCGATTTAATGGGTGCAAACATTTTTGAACGAAGAAGTAAAGACATTAAAAATCATCAACACACATTTTGATCCCTTCAGATACGAAACCTTGCCGTTTAGTTTAAGGGGGACACCTGCCACTTTTTAATAATCCTTCAATTACATTAACATGAACTTGAAAGTGGTGAATCACATCAGGACGGAACTGTTCCTCGTGATGGCAGNGGCGATCTACACAGGATTTCTGTCTTTGCTGGTTACCACAATAATTCATTCGGTGTTTCTATAAATTCAACCAAGTGTATTTTTAGTGTCTAATTTTTCTTGTCTTGGATGTACTGCTAATCTTTAATATTTTCTTTACAAGTTCCGTGCGTTAAGTTCCACTTATTACAGTACCTTCACTCAATGACCACCATGAATTGCGTTCCATCCTCGGTGGCATAGTATTAAACTATGCTCGCTTCAATTGCCCCTTTAGTATTCTACTGACTAACTCTTTGTCTTGGAGGTCGTCTTATGAAAAGACACTTCATGAGCTTCTATTCTTCTGATGATCGGATGTTGTGATCAAAACGTTTTCACCAAACGATCAATCATTATCTATGCATAACCTATTGGAATATATCACATTATTGAAAGGCGGGAAAGGTAAATAATCTGTACCTCGAAAAGCGTGCGAAGAACGGGAAAGGGTACGCACGATAAGCTTTCTTAGATAATTATTTGTTTGGGCTAAAGTTCACCACTGCTACAGATCGTAAAGTCTTGCTATTCATATATCATCTATATTACATATTAGCCAACTAACGAGCGATATTTCACTGGCAGAGTATCGTCCTTAGGTCATGCACTATTTATCACGATATTGAAGAGTCTTTCGTTCAGATAATGCTTAACATAAACCGTCGTGAAAAACCTGCGACAATTCTATTACGAAGCGCAAGCCTAGTTTAAGGTACAAACCGCCATTTTGCCAGCATGGTTTCAGCTTCATGTCAAGAGTGGACTACATATTATAAACGGCAGGTGCCAAATTTTTATATATGACAAGAATTTCCGATTATTGGGTACGGATTGCTGTGTTTTAATGGTCGTTTGGTAACTAATTCACCCTGCCCATCCTTCGGTTGTATTGATGGATTCGCATACTAGTCATTTGGGTAAAGACAAGGTGAAGTCACTTGGACGTCTTACACGTGACCGAATCTGGGTGCAGGTATTCTGCGCACTGCAAAATGCTGCGATTATTGTCTACGGAAGATAAATTCCAAACAGACAAAATGACTTCCTTAACCGGTTTCATGGTAAACGTGTATCACTCTTGGGTAAACAGTATATTCTTGTGATTCTTGGCGCACTGCCAAGTTGACCATCTTCAATCACAGCTAAATTCACATAAACAGCTTTTAGAAAAATATTCAGGAGACCAGGAATACGGTTCGGCACAGTTACAAACAACGGTAGATATTTATTTGCAAAAAACATGAATAAATGCCTGAAAGGTCTGGGATACGATCGTTAAGATACCACCGCTGGTCGCCTGAAGTTTTTCGGCTTTATCGTAAAATTTGTTTCGCACACTTGAACGCTGGATTCATTATATTATTTTTTCTTCAATTCTTGAAGATGATCATGAGATTTACGACATTCCTAAGCAAAATTTTATTGCTATGCATACATACTAATACTAATACTACCGCTACTGGAAAGTCCTTCACAGATATGCAAAGCCCGTAAGCCAAGAACCATTTTTGAGTGCATAGTAAACGTGGAAGTCAGCTATTTCGGGGCAATAATTTTCGGCCGGCAAACGGAATTGCTAATTCACGTGAACGAAAGCGAACGGTTGCCATTTTCGACCTAGATGATGCGTCAAGTCACAAATGTCATGTTCGCCAGTTACAGTTCAATGAGGAAGGGGGGATGTTAGTTCACCTGATGTCGCACCAAATAACAATTTTGATCTAATTTTGATCCATCTAGAGACCGTAGCAGATAAAGGTCTGAAAGAAATTACAAACAGCCCCTTTAAGATTCAACGTGCAGCGGATACGATATGCGTGATTGATTCGTTCGCTAATGGGCTACAGTACTTGTTGCTGAACTAAACGTGTAAATTACAATATTCCATATCCATGCAGTCATCTATCTATTCTTTTGTTCGTTCATCATCAAATTCAACTATGCAATATTGCGCAACTACGAAGAAAACAGGCCCGGTCATAATGCGCCATTGGAATATATTAGCATCACAGTTGGTAAAAAACTGATCCGCATTATCAAGGAAAGGTTTTTGAATGTTTGGAGCAAAAGGGACCAGCAAGGGCTCACTGAGTTATTGAAATGGGTATTGCCGGTTCACTACACTTATATCGGCAAGGCACAACACTAGTATATATATATATATATATATTATATATATATATTATATATATATATATATATATATATATATAAACATTGCCCAACTTATTCTGCTTCAGTTTTAGCACATTCGGATCGACCGTATTCGTCATGATGGCATTATGAAGAATAACCATTGTGATTTTCTCATTACCAAGATAGAGTCGAAAAAGTTGAATATTCACTTGAGCTTTATATGCACTGTGTTTCTACAGTTTATACTGCGTATCATTATGTGGGGGGGGGGGGGCAGGGCAGACGCACCCTCTGTATCGCGTACTC